GTTAATAATTGTGTACAAAAACTCAATTAAGTATTACCCCTATTTCCTTCATACGACCACTAAAATGTAAACATATTCTTAAGCATATCTCAGTATTTTTTGTGATATTTTTGTTTAACTAAACATTAAACCATCAGACATCTATAGGCTTTATTTCAATGAAATTAAACAATTTACAGCTAAGTTTAAAATACAATCAACAACCAGACGATGGTGCTCTATCAGCAATTAACACACAACATCAAACATTCAGAAATTGTCTTCATTTGGATCGATATGAGATAAGAGAGAAAACTCAAAACCAACATGCTGCACAGATCCCAGTCTGATAATACGCAAACGCATACAAATTCATAGACACACAAACACGCTCAAGCACAATCTAAATCTCCACTAGCCTCCGTGTTATCTAGTCGACATTAAAAAGCAGAAAAGTAACTTCCGTTCATAAGATAAGATTAAAAAAAAACTGCCAAGTTCAGTGTAGCGATAAAGTTGCAGAAATTAAAGCGATCATCGCCGCAGGGTTGCTCTAAACACCTCCTCTACTGCAAAATGGTAGATTTCACTAATTTAATAACGAATTAGTGACAGCAACAAATCGAATAGACTGAAACTGCCAACAAATAATATTCAAGCAGCACTTTCAAAAAAAGAATATATGTTTATGCTCAAATAAAGTTACCAGTTGAGAACTACATATTACATATTAGTAGTGTAAATTTTTTGCCTTATTCATACTTAAACTATGAGCAAAGAAAGCAAATTTTTTTCTTCTCTCTTCAAAAACATATATTTCCATTATGAATCGAACAAAGACAACGAACGATAGAATTGAGTGAAAAATGCCACAAATAGGCAAATTATACATTTAACAAACATAATGTAAAACATAATACTGATGATAACGATAATTTCGTTAAATACTCCGTTCTTCCTTTCTCCTTTTCTCTTTTTCCTTATCCAAAATTATTACAGAAAAAAAATTCATTTAAAGATATAACATTACAAAAACTATTGGTTCAGTCATTCAATTATTTTGTTTCATCGACGACATCATTCAAACAAATAATTAACAACAGAGGAATGTAGTTTTTTTTTTTTTCTTCACTAATCTAACACCCAATTAGTTTAAAGGTTCTGCTGCAACTAACCACCACCACCACTGGTTCCATACCGTTAGAAAAGACTCATTTTCTCTATATGAAGTTAAAATCATTAAAAAAAAAGCCAAAAAAAAAAAAAAAACGGTTATCAGTGCTCATCAAACATATACCACTTTTATTAAATTAAAACAACATTTAACAATACCTGTTCAGCAGTAACATTACAATTTTTTCCAAAAATTTTACTAAACCTCCTACTTTTTTTGCATGATGAATAAGCAGAGTAAACGACAATGATGATAAAACTGTTAAAAAAACTAAAAGATTAGCAACAGCAAACATATAACTTTCTGCTTATCTTGAAAAAAAAACTTAGACGCTAACAAAGCAACAAAAATTAACTCTTCTTTCTCTGTGAAAATAAACTAAAAAGAAGCAAAAATTTATTGATAGAAAGAGAAAATTTGATAAATTAGAATTTTTTGAAAGGAGAAAAATAGGGGAAGAGAATCTGATGGTTTATTTTAAAATTTCAACATTAACAGTTCAACGGGCAACAAAGAAAACAAACAAGGAAGAACAAGGAGAAAAAAAATGACTAATTCAAGCCATAAACTAAACATTTAGTTTTAATCAGACGCTCAAAAAGAAAAGCCACCCTACTACAGTAACAGAAATGCAAACAGTTTCTAAAAGCTTTCAAAAAATATGTGCCCTTCCTGTATAAACGATCTTCCGTTGTATTTCCTGTATTTAAAAGCAACAAGAAAAAAATAAATAAATAAATAAATAAGCAAATATTAACCATTCTTATTCTCTCAATTTTTCCTAAGACTTTTTTCATATATACAACAAAAATGGTACGGTCAACGATATAAACGCAGAAATAACGAAAAAAAAACAAGTATTTCTGTTTCTTCTTCTATAAAAAACAACGTTAGAATTTTAAAATCTTTCTCAAGCACAGCAGCAACAATCTTCAACACATTTTTCTCCTCTGCTATAAATATACATCTTAACAAAAGCACAGAGATCAACAAATTTCTGCTTCACTGCTCGTCACCCAATAAAGTTTTCGCCATTCATTGTACGATAAAAAAATTGCTCGCTAACTTTTTTGTGAGAATTTAACACAAAAATTAGAAAATAAGAAAAATTGAACAAATAAAATAAAGAGAATAAGAAATGAATTGAAGTCAAATAAGAAAAAAAAAAACTGTCGTCAGAGAACGGCTCAGTCTATCAAAATTTTTTTTCATACAATACATAAATTTAACTCAAAAAAACAAACCTCTTCCCTTTTCTTCCCCCTCTCCCCTACACCCTCTCCTTTCACAAGTAAGAAAATAAATTCAAAATTAAAAAAGAACAGCAAGAATGCAAAACAAGCCCGTTCAAAATTGCTAAAAAAATTCATAGTCGACTATGAGGTAACAAAATAGAATTGTGCAGAAAAAAAAAAAAAAAAAAAAAAAAAAAAA